AAGGGAAAGGATCCAGGAGTTCTGGGAGAAGGGGGAAAGGGAAGGGAGTGGATACAGGAGTGCTGGGAGAAGGGGGAAAGGGAAGGAAGAGGATCCAGAAGTTCTGGGAGAAGGGGGAAAGGGAGCAGAGCCAGGAATGCCGAGGGAGGGAACAGAGCCCACGGAGCACTGAGGGAGGGGTTGGAATTCCCACCCTGCTGCTCCCTGCAGGATCTGGGATCCCCCTGGCTTTGGGAAGGGAGTATTCCCTGTGCCCCTGACCCTCCATCCCTTCATCCTCAGCATGGAAGGGGTGTATCCATGAGGGCAGTGGATCCATGGCATCAGTGGATCCATGGGATCAGTGGATCCATGTGCTCTTCCCAAGCTCCGCAGAGCGCCGGGATTATTTTTTTAGCACCGATTCCTTCTATTTTTATCCCTCCAATTAATTTTTTCCTCGTTTGTGAGGCCACAACTTCCCCTCCTCAGGATTTGGGAATTGCCTCCCTCCGGGAGCTCCCACGTGGGGGAGGGAGGAGAGGCAGGAAAACACAGTCCTTGGCTTTTCCAGGAGGAATGTGCTGACTCTGCTCCTCCGGCAGCTCCGGAGGAGGAGGAGGAAAAACTTCCCTGCCTGAAGTGCCAGGCACCAAAATCCTTTGGGAATCACTCCTGGGAAAAGTTTTCTCAACACTGAGGCCAAACAAAGGCAGAACCTCCGGAATGAACAGGGATTTATGATCCAAGTGGTTTTTTTTTTTTAGTGGATCGAAGTGCTGGGAAGGGGTGGTGGATTCCAGAGGGATTCAGCAGCGAAGTCTTGGAGTTTTTCCTTGAAGGGAACGGAACTGGAAAGGGGCTGGAGCACCAGGAATGGCTGAGGGAACTGGAGGGGTTCATCCTGGAGAAAAAAGAGGGATTGGGGGGACCTTCTCACTCCCTACAATTCCCTGACAGGAGGGGGGAGCCAGGTGGGATTTGGGATCACTCCCAGGGACCAAGGGACAGGACAAGAGGGAACGACCTCGAGTTGTGTCAGGGGAGAGTCAGGTGGGATATTGGGAAAATTCCTTCCTGGAGAGGGTTGTAAAGCATTGGAAGAGGTTGCCTGGAGTCACCATTCCTGAGGGGAATTATCCCTGTGGATGTGGCACTGGAGGACATGGATCAGGGGTGACCTTGGAAGCGCTGTGGGAATGTTGGACTCCGTGGGCTCAGAGGGGTTTTCCAACCTCAACGATCCTGGGTTTGTGTTTGGGAATGGTAGGAGGGACAGGACACAGGGAATGGCTTCCCAGGGTTAGATGGGATATTGGGAAGGAATTCTTGGCTGGGAGGGTGGGGAGGGGCTGGAATGGAATTCCCAGAGAAACTGTGGCTGCCCCATCCCTGGAAGTGTCCCAGGCCAGGTCGGAGCAACCTGGAATAGTGGGAGGTGTCCCTGCCCCATGGAAGGTGGGAGGGAATTCCATGACCTTCAAGATTCCAACCCAAATCATCCTCTGCCCATTCCAGGGACGAAAAAGGGCTTTGTTTTTCCTAGTTTGCCAGGATACAGGGAATGGCTTCCCACTGCCAGAGGGTTAGATGGGATATTGGGAAGGAATTCTTCCCTGAGAGAGTGGTGAGTGACTGGGGTGGAATTCCCAGAGAAGTTGTGGCTGCCCCATCCCTGGAAGTGTCCCAGGCCAGGAGCACTTGGGAACAACCTGGGATAGTGGGAGATGTCCCTACCCATGGAAGGCGATGGAATTCCGTGATCTTTCCTCTCCCTTCCCACCCAAACCATTCCACGATTCCATGACTTTTCCTTCCGCTGTGGGTTATCCAAACCCAAGTGGGAGCCTGTCGTGATTCCGACTCCCAAATTCCCGCGGGATCAAGGGATTCACAACCCTCTGTCTCCTCCTTCCCAGGTCTCATCAACAGCCACAGGAACATCCACGGGGATGCTCCGCGGCCGCTTCCAGCGGCACCTCCCAGGTGGAACAACCCCCGGAGTGCCGCCTACGGCCGGAGGGGAGCGTTTTCCAGGAATTTCCAAGCTCCCAGGAGTTTCCACCCGCGCCAGACTCACTCCTGGAGGAAGAAATACTCCCTGGACAACCGGCTGCCGGGATCGACCTCCGAGGTTGGAAGCGCTTCCGGCACATCCCGGGTTTTCGGGAACAACGGGGACAACCCGACTCCGGAGCCTCCGGAATCGTCACTGGAGAGACACGTGGATTTCACCACGGATGGGAACATCGTTGTGGGCATCCAGGTGCCACAGAGGGCTGGAGACGCGGGAGCTTCCGGGGAGTTTTCCGGGCGGGAAACGGCGGTGGCTCCTTCGGGCGATGGGAAAAGTATCCCGGAATCTCCATACCCGGAAGAGAGAAGACCTTCCCTGTCCATATCCTTTAGTTCCACTTCCAGGACCGTGTGTCTGCCTGGAAGCGTGGCTGGAAGCAGCTTTTCCCCCTCTGGAAGCGGCAGCGAAAGCGCCGTGACGCTGAAATCGGAGCCGCAGGAGCCTTTGGAATTTCCGGGTCAGGAGCCGGCCGGGAATTTGGGACGGATCAAAGCGGAGCCGCCGTCTCCGGGACAGAGCTGCGAGGAAGTCAAGGATGCTTCCCTGCTCCCCAAACTCTTTGGGAATGCCAAGGTACCCTCTCCACCCGCTCGGGTCGGGGTGACTCCGGACAAGAGCAGATTTCCCGTCGTTCCCAAGTCTCCCGTCTCCAGCAAATCCCCGAAATTCCGCAAGAACAACTACACCTGGGTGGCAAATCCCGGGAAAAACTGCCGGCCGGTGAGGAGGTGGGGGAGCCCCCGAGCCGAGAATTCCAGGAAAGGCCTCGGGGGGACGGAAAGAGGAACCAAAACATCCCCCCGGGCGGATTTGGGAGCGAAGGCGAAAAAATCGGGATTGCAATCCAAGCTGGGAGGGGTCTCTCCCAGCAAATACAAGTGGAAAGCCTCCAGCCTGCCGGCCCTGCCTTCCACTTCCAAGTCGGCATTCCGCTGGAGATGCGAGGATCAGAGGAAGCCTCCCGACATTCCGTGTCCCGGAAGTGCTCCCGTGGCTCCGAGCGCCGCTTCCGTGGGTCTCGGAGCGGGGAAATCCTTTGGAGAGGTCCCGTTATCCACTTATAAAGTGAAGAGTCGGACCAAGATCATCAAGAGGAAAGGGAACGTGGGGTGAGTTCGGGGGGTTTTTCCGGGCGCCGTCGGAAAACGCCGGTTGGATTTCGCGTCCGCGGGTTTCGTGGGAGTTGTGGCCGTGGAATTCCAACGAGGGTTGGAGTGTGTGTTTATAGGATCCTGGAATGGTTTGGGTGGGAAGGGAGCTTAAAGATCTTGGAACTCCAGCGCCGACACCTCCCACTAACCCAGGGTGATCCAGTCCGACCTTGGACACTTCCAGGGATGGGGCAGCCACAGCTTCTCTGGGAATTCCATTCCAGACTCTCACCACCCTCCCAGCCAAGAATTCCTTCCCAATATCCCATCTAACCCTGGGAAGCCATTCCCTGTGTGCTGTCCCTCCAGCCCTTATCCCAAGTCCCTCTCCAGCTCTCCTGGAGCCCCTTTAGGCCCTGGAAAGGGCTCCAAGGTCTCCCTGGATCCTTCCCTTCTCCTGACTGGATATTCCCAGCTCTCCCAACCTGTCTCCAGCCCTTGGAGCATCTCCATGGCCTCCTCCAGCAGCTCCGCATCCTTCTGCTGTTGGGAATCCACAGTTGGATCCTGTGATTCCCCGAGGTCTCCGACACCTCCTCTCTCAACACAGGAAGCCACATTTTTTTGGATTTATTTTCCAATTCCCATAAAATTGTGTTTGGGGCTTGGGAAAACCAGGAGAAGTGTCTTGGATCGTTGTCTGTCCCTGTAAAGCCCTGGGATGGAGCAGGAATGGGAGATGAGCTCGGCATTCCGGGAAGAAGCACCATCCACGGTATTTTCCTCCCTGTGTTCTCTCCACCTGGAAAACTGCTCCAGGTGATGCAGTAATCCATGGAATGGATTGGGAATCTGGTGCCTGGATTTCTGCTCCTGTTTTCCAGCTCCTCTACTCAGTGTTTTCCCACAGGTTTCCATCCTTGCCTTTCCCTTGTTTTGCTGGGAAAACTGGCCGTGGGTGGACTGTGCTGGGAAAATCACTCTGGAGCAACGTGCCTGGAAAAGCTGGGAATGTTTGGATTTTTGGCAGTTGGAGACTCCCTCCTTCTTGCTAAAGTCCAGCAGGACCAGGAGAGGGATCATGGATCATCCCCCTGTGCTGGGCACTGAGGAGGCACCTGAAATCCTGGGATTTTGGGGTTCCCAGGTCCAGGATCTTGAGGGATTGGAGCGTGTCCAGGGAAAGGAACGGAGCTGGGAAAGGGTCTGGAGCAGAGGAGCAGCTGAGGGAGCTGGGGGGGCTCATCCTGGAGAAAAGGGGGATCAGGGGGGATCTTCTGCTCCCTACAATTCCCTGACAGGAGGGGGGAGCCGGGTGGGATTTGGGATCACTCCCAGGGAACAAGGAACGGGATGAGAGGAAATGGCCTCAAGCCGAACCAGAGGAGGTTTAGTGGGATATTGGGAAAAATTCCTTCCTGGAAAGGGTGATCAGGCACTGGCAGAGGCTGCCCTGGAGGGATTGAACATCCCTGTGGATGTGACACTTGGGGACATGGATCAGGGGTGGCCTTGGAATGCTGTGGGAATGATTGGACTTGATCTCAGAGCTCTTTTCCAACCAAAATGATTCCACAATTCCCTGATTCTATGATTCCATCCCTCACATCCGTTGGTCAGAAAGCACCACCTGAGTTTGACTTTCAAATCCCTCCTTCTCCGGCTGTTCTTTGCCAGAAATTCCTCCCATTTCCCAATTTACTTGGAATTTTCCCCTCAGAACTTCTCCCCCTTTTCCGGAGGAGCCGCGCGGTGGGATTCCGGTGTCTCCTCTTTTCCCTGGAGCTCCGGAGAAGGAGTGTTTTGCTCACCTTTCCACTCCTTCCTAACCATGTGACCTTTCCCATTCCCAGTTTCCCGACGGAGAAGAAGAACATCTCGCCCGGCGCGGCCCTCAAGAGTCGCTTCCACCTCCGGAGGAAAAATTCCGTGCGGGGAAAACCGTCGGCGACTCTGAAACGCTCCTCTCCCAGGATCCTGGTCCAGGTCTCCAGGCACAGGCTCCGCAGGATTCCGGCCACCAGGAATCCACAGGGGACCACCAAGGAAGGTAGGAACAGGCATTCCAAAGGCTCCCTGAAGTGATTCCAAGGCTCTTGGATTTGGGAATGTGTTGTTGGGCCTGGAGCAAACTCCTCCCTTCTCCCAGATCCATCCCGGGCTTTGGCGTCTCCAGACAAAGGAATTTTCAGGCTCTTCCTTGCTTTTCATGTGGTTTTCCTGGACTTTCAGGTGTTCAATGGGAAAGTATTCCAGGAGGGAAGCGGTTGGCAGAGGCGGGAATCCATAATCTCTTCCCTGTATCCCGTTTCTATGTCTAATTTTGGATTTAATTTGCTTAAACCTGCAATAATTAGAGGGATAACGAGTCCATTTGTTTGGGAACTGGGAATTCGCATCCCTGTCCAACTGCCTTGGGTTGGGAATTCTCAGGGCGGCGTTCGAGAGCCGCTCTGACATTCCATGGGCGTGGAATGTTGTCGGGAATGTTTGTGGCTCTGGGTTGGGTTCAGCTGCTCCGTAGGGATAATTTTGCAGAGAGGAGGCTTCTCCCACCTGGAATGTGGTTGTTTTGGATGGATGTGGAACACGTTTTCCCTGTGCAACAGTGGGAATTGCTGGGACAGGGATTTGGATTCTGATGTGTCTCCAGAGATATTTTGGGGTTACAGTTATTTTCCGTTCCAATCACTGCTCTGGGATGTTGTATTTTCCTGGATGAGGGACTTGGGACAAGGCCTGGAGCAACAGGATAACAGGGAATGATTTCTCACTGCCAGAGGGTTAGATGGGATATTGGGAAGGAATTCTTGACTGGGAGGGTGGGGAGGGGCTGGGCTGGAATTCCCAGAGAAGCAGTGGCTGCCCCATCCCTGGAAGTGTCCAAGGCCGGGTTGGAGCAACCTGGGATAACGGGAGATGTCCTTGCCCATGGAAGCAGGTTTGGAATTCCATGATCTTTCTTCTCCCTTCCCACCCAAACCATTCCGTGATTCTATGAAAAGACAGGAATTTTGTTGTTCAGGACAGGGGAAAGCTTTTTGTGGGAGGAGAAGCTGAAGGAATTTTCTCTCCACATGTTTGTTTGGAGGGATTTGGGAACTCTGGGAAGATGATTTTGGATCTGGGGCCTGGGAGAAGTGGGAGAAGGGGGAATAAGTTGGGCACTGTGGATGCTCTTCCATGATCTCCCGAAACAGAGAAGTTGGATACAGCACGAGTTTGTCTTCCATGGATAATGGTGACGTGTGGGATTGGGATCACAGCCCTTCCATGTCCCAAAAACCATCCTCTGGGATAAATTTAGGATTCCCGCTTCCCAAACTGCTCCGTGGGACTTTCTCCCACTGTGGCACATCCTTAAAGAAATCCTTCTCCTTAAAGAAATCCTTCTCCTGAAAAACTCCTTTTTAAAGGAACGCTGAGAGCCTGGGATGAGCAGATCCCTGGAAGCTCAGGAGATTCTAGGAAATTGAGGGAGTACCAGTTCCAGGGATTTGGAATCCTTGATTGAAGGATCCCAACTTGGATTTGGAATCCTTGATTGAAGGGAATGTTCCCAGACTGAGAAGGTTTGGATTTTTCCCCTTGGATAGGGATGAAAATGAATAAAGCAGGAATGTGGTCGTGCTCCTGGTTTTGGCAAATAAAGAAGGCTGGAGAAAGGTTTGGATTTCCCTGTGGGCAAAGTGTGGATATGGATTGGATTTCCCTCACGACAAGGCGGGAGGGAAGTTGGGGGGATGTTCCAGGGAGACACCGGGAGCAGAGTGGGGCGGGAATGGAGCTGGGAACGGAAGTTCAGGAACAACATTCCATTCCTGGGATCCCAGGGGAGAGCTGGGGTATGTCCAGGCCGAGAATGGAAGGGCAGAGAGGAGGAACAGGCCCTGGAATGTGGGTGGAAAAGCTGGATCAACCCCATGGATGTGGCTCCCGCTGGGACACAGCTCGGCTGGTTTCCTGTTTGTCCCGTCCAACAGGATTTTGGGATCCGAGCTTGGAATCGCTCCTCCCTTTCCCGGGTGCTCGTCCAGCTCCCGACTCTCCAATTCCCAGCTTGGACCCAAATGGATCCCGTTGATCCCATCAATGGAGCAGCTTTTCCAGCCTTGGCTTGGGATTGGAATTTCCCCCGGTGGGAATTGCTTCCCTTTAGGGATCAGGGAGCCAATGGAACGGGGCAAACTGGCAGGAGTTGCCTTGGGATTCTTTGGGAATTAATTCCAAAACCCTCATTGGATTCAGGGGAATGTTTAAGAACCCTTTGGAAATTGGAGAGTGTCCCAAATCCAGGTTGTTCCACTGGGATGGGGGAGCAGGGAAGTGTCTTTTTGTGTATTTTTGTGTCTTTTTTGGTCTTTTTGAATCTTTTTTGTGCCTTTTTGTGCATTTTTGTGCCTTTTTGTTTCTTTTTGTGCCTTTTTTTGTGCCTTTTTATGTCTTTTTTTGTTTCTTTTGGGGTCTTTTGGTGTCTTTTTTTGTGTCTTTTAATGTGTTTTGGTGTCTTTTTGAGTTTTTGTGCCTTTTTTGTGTCTTTTTGTACCTTTTTGTGTCTTTTAATGTCTTAATATCTTTTCATGTGTCATTTAATGTGCCTTTTGTGCCTTTTTGTGCCTTTTTGTGTCTTTTTGTGCCTTTTTTGGTCTTTTTGTGTCTTAGTGCATTTTTGTGTCTTTCAATGTGTCTTTAATGTCTTTTAATGTATCATTTAATGTGTCTTTTTTTGTCGTTTTTATGCCTTTTTGTTCCTTTTTCTGCCTTTTTTGTGCCTTTTTGTGCCTTTTCTTGTCTTTTTGTGCCTTTTTGTGTCTTTTAATGTGTCATTTAATGTCTCTTTGTGCCTTTTTTTGCCTTTTTGTACCTTTTTTGTGTCTTTTTGTGCCTTTTTGTGCCTTTCAATGTCTTTTTTCATAGTATCATAGTATTTTTGTTTCTTTTTATTTCTTTTTGGGTTTTTTTGGGGTCTTTCGGTGTCTTTTGATGCCCTTTTGACCCTTTTTATGCCTTTTGTGTCCTTTTGTGCCTTTTTGTGTCTTCTAATGTCATTTCATTTTTTGTGCCTTTTATTGCCTTTTTGTGCCTTTTAATGCCTTTAATATGTCTTTTTGTGCCTTTTAATGTCTTTTTTATGTCTTTTGTGCCCTTTTTTTACCTTTTTGTGCCTTTTTGTGCCTTTTTGTGCCTTTTCTTGTCTTTTTGTGTCTTTTTGTGCCTTTTAATGTGTCATTTAATGTATCTTTTTGTGCCTTTTAATGTCTTTTAATGTGTCATTTAATGTATCTTTTTGTGCCTTTTTTGTGTCATTTTTGTTTCTTTTAGGGTCTTTTGGTGTCTTTTTGGGTCTTTTTGTGCCTTTTTGTGTCTTTTTATGCGTCTTTTAATGTCTTTTGATGTCTTTTAATATCAATTTGTGTGCTTTTTGTGCCTTTTTTGCCTTTTTCTGTCTGTTGTGTCTTTTTTGTTGCCTTTTTGTGTCTTTTAATGTGTTTTAATGTCAGGGCAGTGGCAGCTCCCTGGCCAGGGAGTGACACCCACGTGTTGCACACAGGGAAAAACCTTCGGTTTTGTGGGAGAACCGTCGGTTTTCCGGGAGAATCCATCCTGGAATTTGGGCCACAACAACCACCTGCAGCTCCATGGACTGGGACAGAGCAGCTGGAGAGAGAGAGGGAGCTGGGGGTGAGGATGGACAGCAGGACACAGGCCCAGGGGTGTCCAGGGGGCCAAAAAATCCAATGGATCTTGGCCTGGATCGGGATCAGTGTGGCAGCAGGAGCAGGGAAGGGATTCTGCCCCCGTGAGGCCTCACCTCGAGTGCTGTGTCCAGCTCTGGGCCCTCAGCTCAGGAAGGACATGGAGGGACTGGAGCAGGTGCAGAGAAGAGCAACGAGGCTGGGGAAGGGTCTGGAGCACAATTCCCGTGAGGAGAGGCTGAGGGAACTGGGGGGGCTGAGCCTGGAGAGGAGGAGGCTCAGGGGAGACCTCCTCACTCTCTGCAACTCCCTGAC